TCAGAACTATTGCTAGTATAGGATGGAAGCAATCGTGTAGAAACATTTTCAAAGAACTCAAAATACTCACCGTTGCGGGTATTTATATTTATGAATTATGCATATACCTGTACAAGAATGGTCATAATTTTATATCTAATCAGCATAAATACCCTACCCGCTCTAAAAACTTATTAATACCCCATATGCATCGAACCACCATATACCAAAAAAGCCACTTTTTTCTTGGACCAAAATTTTACAATAAGCTTGATGATTCGGTAAAGAATGTGGCAAATGTCAATATTTTTAAATCAAGACTGAAAGCTGCTCTCAAAATTGACAGGATAATAATGGTTTTGGAAAATTGTTAAAACAATCCTTCATCTGCCATTATTATTTCGGATTTGAGATAATCACAGTTTCATATTAATAGGTTCTCAAAACATCACATGCATATGCAGGCAATTGACATTTCCATTCGAACATATGAGTATCAGCGTTACAACATTAATAAAGGCACTCGGTAAATGAGTCTCAAATGCCGTAATTACTTCTCACTGCAAGAATACTCTTACTATCTTGCAATAATAAATGAAAATGATATATGAACAACTTCATTGCCCTCAAGGACGTACATTCCCAATCAGCTTTGCATTGGTGTGGAATATGCGTGGTCTTTCGCTATTAATTATAAATGAAATCCAATTTAATTATATTACAAAATGTGTTTTCATTCATATCAGAATCTTTATAAATAACGATTATATTCGAACAATTTGTTGACAGATTTTGCCCACGCACTTAACTAACCGCTCTTTGCTCTCTACTGCCTACCTCAAATTTTGTTAATAGACCAGAACGATCATAAACACATGGACGTATCGGAAATATCACATCAACGGACAAACGGAATTGATATATGTGTTCCAAGAATAAAGAGTAAGATAGATACGAATAACTTATCTCATTGTAAAATTGTATATGTTCATATTTTCCGAAGTTGATGTATTTCATGTCGTCATGTCAGTAGTTAAAAAAATTTTTAGTCTAGCAACGATTCGTTGGCACAACGCTTCGCAGGCATATTCAAATGAGTGGACAAAGGGACTTGATTTCATTGGCCTTCACCAAATGAAACTTCAGCTGAAAAGGATGAGTAAATTGAATTTGATAAATCGGAACAAATCGCTTTTAATATTGTTAGTTCGAAAGTCAACAGAGTTTTTACTTGGTTTACGTTAGGTTTGCTAGGTTTTTATGTATTTTTGATAATTGTCCAAATGAAACATTTTCAACCTATACAGTTCATTATTTCACTCACCCAAATGACACAATTGTAGATGACTGGAACTATTTAGTGTTGAAAAGTACATGAGTCTTGAGTCACTTATCAGCATAAAATACTGATTTTGCTGATTCAGGTATGTAAACTGTAACATAAAATGTTTCTCCCCAATTAAAAAAAAAATATGTGATTCAGAAGAAAATTTTTGTGTTTTTCTATAAAAAATATACAACAGAATCGTCGGTTAGTACTTTTACATTTGGTTCACCTGTTTTCAGGAAACTGTGTTCATTATCTGACAAGTTTTGCAGTTGTACCACAGTAATTGTTATTTTTGAACCACCGAATCATATTTCTGGTTAATGTTGGAACATATTTTGAATGTATAGGTACGTAACCAATGGTTCAAGGGCGGTTATATTTCAAAGATGGTAGAAGACTGCACAAATATAACGTTTTGTATTCGAAAGATACAATATGAATACCTTTTCGTATTATCTGACGTCTTATCTTATTTTCTTTGTTAACTGATACTTATTGAGATATTTCGAAGATGGAGACTGGTGATGATGATGATGATGATACTAACGATATTGGGAAATAAGATCACTATTTGTCAGTGCCTAAGAGTCATAAGAATTATTGTTTTTATAATATACATGTTTCTTTCATACTTTTTTCACATTAATATGTTTGTATATAGAAAATTCTTCTGGTTTTTCAGAACTTATTGATCAGGTTTCTCTCAATTTCATATTTTTTTGACCGTGGATAATCATAATCGTAATTCAAGACTCAATCACAAAAAAATACGATTTTTGAAAATATGAGTGGGAATGAAGTCAAATTATGCAGTAACGTTAGTTATGAATACAAGTGGTATAAAAACATAAGAATCTGATTGATTCGGCCGTTACTTGATGAAGATCCATAGTAATTTCAAAAACTACACCTCAACGATTTGATCTTCACAAACTTTATTTGAAAAATATATCACAACATGTTTCGCTAAAACATAAGAAGTTTTAATTCAAATGTTTCATAAACTCAAATTATTTTGTTAAAGATTAAGCCTTGAATTCTGTTTATGGTTCAATAGGTTTTAAAAAAATGATAAAAAAACATTATTTCGCTGAATAAATGACAGAAAAAACGTCAAAAGGAAATGAAATATTGGGATTCAGTTATTGATTCAGTTAGAACGTAGGTATACTTCCACGGTGAATCAGTGATTTTCATAATAAACAAAACCATACAGGAGAAAAATTACTCCTCCCGCACCTCCAGGAAGATCTTGGGTCCCTATTTTTTATGAAAAATGAGTCGAATGTTTTGTCTTCTCAAATAACATGTTTACAAATAAACTTTCAAAGAAGTCCATAATGGCATGGAAAACCCAAGAAATCATTTGATTGAAAATTTCAATAATACTCACTTCACGGCAGTTTGTGAGTGCACGCCCCTGTCATTAAATGTTGTTGTCAACTCAAAGATAATCACAAATGCAGGATTTTGAAATAACTTGAGCATGAAATGATGAAGTGTATACATCGATACAAGCCAATTCAAAGCAGAATATCATCTTTCCAAGATGATTTATAACACGTCATTCATAAGTCGATGCGATAAACTTTGTGGAAATCTTACTAATAAAAGCTCTTTTTTAATTTATTTACAGATTCTTTCAGGTATTTCAATCAATTTTACGCAAATAATTATGTATTGTATTACGTTTTCTTTGGACATAAATGGTTATTTCTCAGTAATTACTATCTTAAGAACATCCACAAGATATCATCTCATGTCCTCGTCATCGTGCGTCGAGAGAAAGTATTTTGTTCTGATGTTGAACATAATGGAAGAGTGTATTAACAAGATTCATTTCACTTCAGAGGTTCCAATTGTAGGTATCTATAAAATCCACAAGATGCTCAAATTGAATATAGAGGAGTTCCAAAACTGATTTCAATTACAATTTATGATAATCATGTTAGTTCCACAATATAATATTTAAATTTATTTTTCATTGTAACTACTTTGAATAGCAAAAATTTGCAGTCCAGATAAAAAATATGCACATTAGTCTTCTTGCTGTATAAAATTCCTGGAAATTTCATATCCAGATCAAAACATTTTATGAATCAATCATCTATTTTTAGGTCTACGAAAGATACAGTGAAATGTGGTTTTCAAACACATTTAAGATCATATATAAATAATTCACAATGCCGTTTAAGCATCCTAGACCGTTAAGTAGCTGCTAAAACACGTACTCCTATATACAATGGGTTACAAGTACAGAGGGCAGATTTTAAGAGTTTGATTAGATATCGTTTGAGCAGTCATGACTAGCCTCAATTTTGAACTGTTTGAATGCGATTTCGATTTTTTTAAATGAGGTTTTTCTATCATCATTTTTGAGTACTTGCATCAATTTTGATTTTTTTCTTGAGACCTTTAAAACCCGTAACTTTTCCCAATTGCCATATATCATTCGGTCTACTTTAGATTCTACTCATTAAGTAATTCTCACGAATCTTTTTCGACACTAGCAAACAAACTGCAAACTGAGAAAGTGCCAAGAAAAAAAACTTCATACTTTCGTATAATAAATTAAGTAGCTTTTTTAATAATAAAAAGAAATTTTTAAAAATAGGGAATTTTTTCAAGAGTTCTATGACAATTCCACATTTTTCACATTATTATTCATACTCATATTTATATATTGATATAAAATTAGTTGCAATCACTTTTGGAGAATTGAAAATCCAAAAGAGAAATTAATTTGAACTGTTTGACGTCAAAAAAAATTCAGATACTCATCAAATTCGTTAAATCCATTGATGAACTCACCCCAATAAAGTATGAATTTTGTTTACAACCGACACTCAAATGTTCAAATCAGGAAATAGTGAATCGTTCAGTTGAAATTTAGCCCACCACCTACTTTCTGTATTTGGCATTTCAAGTTTGATTCCCATCGAAAGCCAATAACTATTTCAAAGAATCATGAATTTGTGCGAATTGGATTCACAATATTTTCTGGGTAATGCAATCCTACGAATATTGATAACTAATTCCAATGACGGATTTCTTCGAGAAAGAAATACAAAGGTTTTGGAAAGTGCACAGAAAATAGAAATACAGTGTTTCGGTTTTTCGAACCAAAACGTTTCGATCTGTTCCGGATACCTGCACAGAGGACAATGAGAAGAATCGCTATATTTTGTATGGAGTTGAAAAACTTTAAAGTATGTTTTGGATGTTGAGTCCGACAGACACATTCAGGCAGTATTCCAAAAGGGATCGATATGGGTTTTACAGATCATTAGTTGCTAGAATTCTAATTTAATTTGAGCAGTATTCCAAAAGGGATCGATATGGGTTTTTAAATTTGTCATATCGATTTTAAAAACCTACTCGTAGACAAATTCTTATAGTACCGAATTTTACTACTGATAAAACGGAGTAGGTACTTGACATTTCCTAGTTTCAGTGATAGAAACAGAGCACGAAATAATCTAAACATTGCACGAAATTACAGAAGTAGGTAGTGCATTTCTCGCACATATTGACGAACATAGGCTAAAGTTTTTGTTGATGATTTTAAAAAACCTCCGTTTTTTGTAGAACAGTCATTTTCAATCTCATAAAAACAAAGTCGTTCTCATGAACCTGTCTCAACAATAAATGAACAAATGAACGTTTTTCAAACTGCGCTTAAAATACTAACCTCTTATTGTAATCCACCAGTCAATCACATTAATGTTTATTGCAAAACTAAGACCGGATCAAATCACGTGGACACTGAAATCGAGAAAACACTGATATGAGTACACTTCACACTACGGCTTGCTAAGAAAATGATATTCAATAAGGAAGAACGAATGTATCACTGTTTGCTGTTTTGCCCCGCCTGGCGCAAATAAGATTTTTTGCTGTTCTTTTGTCGAAAGATGTGACAATATTATTTAATATTACTCACTTGATATCTGAAAGGAATCATTCTGTGGTTTTGTAGCAGTCCGACGTCGATTTTACCGCAAAAATGTGCGTTGGAGAAACATGTAGTAGAATTTTACTACATTGGTCTTTAATTAGAAATAGAAGTTTGTGGTTTTCTTACGATACAAATCTATCAGGGTTATTTTGTTTTGAAATTTATGTTCCCAATAAGAAAGTAGTTGAGAAAGGTAGGTATCTATAATTATTTTATAGTGATACACAAACACTAAGAGCGGTGGTAAGCGAAAGTGACGATTTATTAAGACTTTTAGGAAAAAAAGTTATATGAAGTACTGGTGATATTTTGACCCCATCTATACATTCCCGAGAGGAAAAGAGGAAGTCCAGGGACACCCTGTATATAAATTTTATCATCTATGGTTGGGAGCAATATAAGCCAACAACACAACGCATATTGTGATAAAGATTTATGACATCCGACATGTAAATATACTTATGTTCTGTTGTATTGTGATGTTCTGTAGTTAGTGACAGAATCGTCGCCATATTTGAGAATCTGAAAGGGTATTTTTCTTCCAGAAACGAAATTGCAAATAGATTATAATTTTTTCCGAAATGATCAAAACCCTAATGTAACTGGTGAGAAGCTGTAGTTATTCTGAATCACACACCTCATACTACTGTGTGCTGTATTTCAACATGAAAGGAGACCTCAGGACTTAACCAAAAAAAATTAATTGAAAACAATTACTTTTAACGAGAATATTTCATGAGTTATCTAATTAGTATGTCTTTGTGAATGAGCCAGTAGGATAATGCATTCTATAACTTAATTCATTAAGGAAGTCCAAATTTCATCATGATATTTTTTTAAGTGTTTGCAAAAATAGTTTATAGTTAACTATGATGGCTAGTTCCTTTGACCATGAAGATAAAGATTGGTAAGTTATTTTGAAAGGCGAAAAATAACAATATTTATCTTAATTTTTTTTCAGCTGGTACTTTGGGGCCATTGGTCGTCATGAGGCTACAGATTTACTGATGTCTGAAAGAGAAGGTGGTGTTTTTTTAGTCAGAGATAGTAAAACTAGTGTTGGAGACTTTGTATTATGTGTCAAGTGAGTTGTTAGGACAAAAGCAAATATTGTGTGTTTTGAGATTAACTCATTGATTAATTACTATATCAAGGACAGGAAACTTTCATAGAGGAATAATAACAATTATCCATGAAAACTCTTCAAGGAAATATGTAGATCATCTACAGATGTTTGTGTTACAAAACGAAAGAACCAATCTAAAACAACAACTTACACCTATGAATATTAAGTTACACAGAACATGTCTTCCTTAATTTTTACAAGAAAAATTTGTAAAGATAAATGAAACATCCATGGAAAACTATACACGTTGCTATGTTTAATTACGAAGTGTACTTGGGGTTTCAGTAAAAAAAAATTATAGTGGCTTTATGCAGCAACTATACATAAGAACTAACCTTATGACCAAGACTATATCTAAGAACAGTATCTCATTTATGCACTCATTTTCTATCGAAAAGATTGCATGTGCATAACTACACCTCAATTATAAATAATTCCAAAAGAATTTGTTTTTTCGAAAATTCTATTCAATTTTCAAATTATTATTAAAAAAAAAAACAAATTTGAAACAATTGTTTTGTAATTTCTCAGGTCAAGGACAGTTGTAAATATTTCAATTTGAGGCATACTAATTTTTATTTTGACTTGAGCTTTAAGTCATTAGTTGAATATTAGCCAACTTTCTAGGCATAAGGCACAGTTCTTAGTTCTAATTGATTTTTCATAAAGCTCTCATTGATTTGTTATGGCTGAGCTCTAGGTTCTCAGTTTTAGTTATTATGTACGTTAGATAGTCTCGCCAATAATTTCTCATTACTTATTTCGCTACATGGTATCTTCATCAGTTAGACCGGTGAATTCCTCATTAGAAGTGCTTTGGATAGTCTGAAAACTTTCTTCAAGGTTTTTTTTTGTGTTCATATATTTGAACACATCTGTTCCATAACTCTGACAAATGGAAAATTTGACATAAGTATGTCAAAAAGCATTACCTTTATACAACTTGAAAACTGTATAAACTCCCTAGTTGATCCCAATTTTAGGAAATGGATTTGCGAAAAAAATATTTTTGAAGGAAATAATAATGGGAAAGAAACGTTAGGCTTTCCATTTCTACATAAACATATGAAGACCGGAAAAGTTCTAACAAAAAAAAAAGTTCAACAAATTATGTCTATCACTACATAGTATGAAACGAAGTCGCTTTTTGCTGTCTGTCCCTATGTATGCTTAGATCTTTAAAACTATGCAACAGATTTTGATGCGGTTTTGTTTTATAGATAGAGTGATTCAAGACGAAGATTTATATGTATATAAGATGCATAATATAGTAGAAACATTGATAATTTCAGAGGCTTCTAATGTGATGTCGTAAATAAGCAGTGTTTTTCGCTTACATTGCAAACGCTGGCTAAACCCTACGAGATAGATAATAAAAGTCTGTTCTGAAATATGTCCTCTTAGAGATAACTCACAATAATTATTTTTTCTCCTCGAGAAGTAATGGCTTATATATGAAGCGATTTTGAGCAATACAGCATTAATCCTTATCCAATTAAGTACCTTGAATACATTGTGCATTTAATATAGATCAATATGGCCCCTTACAGCATGTAATTTAAATGAATACTTTCAAAGATATTACAGATTGAAAATGCATCCAAATTTAAGGAGTCCTATGAAATATCCCAAAATTAATAAATTCCGAAAATTATAATCCTGTCAAAAATATTGATGTTGATAGCACTTGTTACATCTGCCTAGCCTTAAACTGTTTCATTGTTTTTAGAGATTGAGAAAAATTATTGTATGAATGATTTCAGTCATGTAAATTTCAGTGTTTACAAATTGCTTTTGTAACGTTACAGTATTAGATTCAAGTGAATCATTGTTAAAACTATTTGAAATGATATTAATGAGAAGTTAGAAACAATCGTTTTAACCCAAAGATCTGAATCAAGACTGGCAATCAGAGAAGTTATCGTTAGTTGAAAATTGATTTCTGTGATTTCAATGTGTATGGAGAAGTAGTTCTGGTCTGATTATGAAATATCTATACATTGTCCTAAAAAGTGATCATTGATAATTGTTAAATTTATGTTTCAATCTCTAGTATATCTCTTGAATATTACTTTGAGTTTTTTTAATGAAATTAAATGTTTCAGGGAAGATAGTAAAGTAAGTCATTACATTATAAATAAAACCCAGGTGCAGGATCAAGCAAGATATAAAATTGGGGATAACTTTTTCAAAAACATACCAGAGCTTCTTGCATTTTACAAAGTACATTACTTAGATACCACTCCGCTTATTAGACCTGCCAGTAAAAAGGTTGAGAAAGTTGTGGCCAAGTTTGATTTTGATGGCAAGGTAAGCAAAGTACTGAGAATTTTTTAGAAAGTACATCCCTCATTTGCATTTTAGGAAAAGGATGACCTTAGTTTCAAAAAAGGTGATATTTTAACTATATTATTCAAAGATGAAGAACAGTGGTGGACAGCGAAAAACAAAGATGGACAAACAGGATCTATTCCTGTTCCATATGTACAGAAAGTAAGTATTATGTGTTTATTTTTAAAAAATATCACATGTTTCGCTAACACAGTAGCTGTTTCGTAGTGAATAATGTACATTATTGTACATTTCTTATTTCATTAAGTGATGAACTTTTCAAAAATAACAATTTCTTCACATTACACTTTTTTTCATTGTCCGAGTCAGTTTTTTGTAGAAACTATATATTTTTAAGTAAACTCTTGGTGATGTTTGAGAACCTATTTTGGATTAGGTAAATTCTCAAGGCTTACTTGCGATAGAGATATTTTTGAACCCTTGGATGAATGTCAAAATCTCCCCCATTCCAACGACTTTCAATTGAGTGAAATGTCTAAACTACTTCAATTTCTTCTGCTTCAAAAGTTATCAGGAAAGCACATTTTTTTGAATGAATTGTTTTATGAGTGAAACTGAATTTTAACTCGTGTTTTTTTTCGTTATTGTATTTGACTTTTATTTTATTTCCAGATTGAGGAAAGTCATTCCCCTGTAGATCTTCTCCGCTCCGGATCTGGTGTCGCTGTTAATAATACATTGTTGCCATGTGAAGCAGCCAAACGAAATCAAATGCAGGTATTCATCATATTCCATAAAAAATATTTAGTTGTTGCTGAATCAGTATCAGAAACTTGATATTTCACTGAAAAGCTTCTAACTTGAATATTTTATAGTTAGAGGAAGAATAAAAATTTTCAAGGCAGGTAAAAAAATTCAGGTCTTTTACTTATCCACGGGATGACAAGTAATTCGTAGTCTTTCTGGTGCATTAAAAAATATGAAATAAATACAAAATAAAACAATTCCACTGTACATGTGGACTGTTTTAAAAGGGTTTATGGGTGCGAACTACTAGTTGCTTTTAATTAATGGAAGTGTCCATTAGTTTCACAGCAAGGCATGTAGAGGAAACCAGAGCAAAGAAAACAAAGCATTCTGGATTCAACATCAGACTTTGCTGTTTCGACCTATCATAGGTTTCTTTGGTAGTACTGGGCTGAGCCATGAATGCATTGTTGGAGTCATCTGTTGTCCAAGAACAAGCCTGGGTATGAGTAAGCATGAACATTTCCAATTACGAATACGCCATCTATGGGATCCAATAGATAACTCACATTACAAATATTAATAATGAACGGGGCTCGCAAAGATGGTAAATTCCAAAACCATGCTTCAACATCGACCGTCGTACAAGATTTGCCTTTTGGCTTTCTCTGCAGCAGCCACTGCAACGCAATTAGATGAGACCATAACCCAAAAACAAAGTACACTGGAACTTTAATTGTCCGAAATCCAACTATCCGGATCACTTTTTTTTTTGGGTTTTTAAGGCAAAATTACGTTATGAACAAGACGTATTCAAAGGCCGTGCAAAAGTAAAACATTTATTGACTTTTAAAATTATTTCCGCTGCCCTCTGCTGTTCACTCACATTTTCAGTGGAATGACCTGGAGTTTTATCCAGCAGATAACAAGCTGACCCATATTCTCGTTGTGGCAATGTTTCTAAAAAGTTTTACACCACCGTTCCTAAAATGTCTGAACATTAAAAACAAATTCACGGTAAAATTTCAACTCTTCTGTCCACATGATTGTTTAGAAAAAATTGGCATCCTGTTGTATCCACACAAAAAGAATTTTACATATAGCTACATGTTTTGTCACAACATTAGGTTGTACTTTACAGTAACGTTAACAAATAAAGTTCTACTACTTTTACAAAGATGTAACATTGGTAAAAGAAATAGTTAGTAATAGACTTTATAACCTAAAAGCTGCCAGAAACTATATTACCTGTATAAATATTAACTTATGTCTATAATGCAATTATTGAAACATAAGCAAATATTTGAAGAAATGTAAATGAACTCAAAATAACTAGTTGAAAAACTTATTTTTCATTACATTGATATACATTCACTGGAGTTGAACAGCTTCTTTGAAACTATTCAGGTGTGGTCAAAATTTTTTTGTTTCATCAAATAGATGATTATTAACTTTGCACATATATAAAAGTTTTTTATGAAAGTGAATTTTCAGTAGGAAGCTTGATGTCATTACTCTACCGAGTGGGAAGTTGTAATGGATGAGATATACTTATTTATATGTCTTTTATTCATTGACACTGTTTTCATAATGTTCAAAAAAATTAAGATAATATTTCATGGGAAACAGATTCACGGATTTCCATTTTCAATGTTGAACAAATATAAGTGATCCTATTTACTCCAAACCTCTGTAATATAATGTTTGGTGGACTTCAAAAGGATAATATAAGTCAAGATATCCTGAATATGATTTTTCTCTTCAAAATCTTATTGATGACAAAAATAGACATATTTCTTTGTTTATAACAAAGCTGATGAGTATATGAGAAAAGTACATAAAATGCAGGTACTTGGCACATTTGTACATGTATAGAGTATTTGTACTTACAAGTTTCGAAAGAACTGTTTAAGGCTCATCAAGTATGAATACTTTATTTATGAGTGCAAATAAAAGTTTCAAATACTCTTACAGTCTTCAAGAACAAATACTCTCTTCATATACAAATACCCATGTTGAATTTCTGGATGATGATAACGAGAGTTAGTCATTTATTCAATTGTAAAATTTTCAAAATATTTTGCTAATGTTGAATGTATAGAACCCCGACTTTTATTGTATATTTATTAATTAATTTTAATTGGCAATAACATTAACCTTATATACATATATACTATATTCATCTATTATTTATGAACAATAATTATACAATGCGCTGTTGATGTCAATTTGTATTTTTATTAATTACATATCAATATTTCAGTCATTCGTTTTATGTAAAATAGCATTTCAGCTTTTTCACAAATAAAGATATTTTATGAATCTGATTGCTTAATTATTCTTGTAAACTAATTTTTCCCCCCAACAACTTGAGTTGTTCGTGACACTAGTTAGAGCCTGTAGAACCCGATTGTTTTTCATAAATTAAATCATATTAATACTACTTCTGGCACTATTATCAAGTTCAATCTTTCAACTCAAAAGCTTCAGAAAATCATTCTTCTTGTAAAGTCCTGTATATGCCAAAATAAATTTTAAAACCTCATTTTGTTCAGCCCTCATACATTTTATGCTAATCATATTAGAATTTGATAACCTGTTGTATTTTTTATTTGTTTTTTTTATTGAATCATAGAATACTCCAATAGGAATTACCATATCAGTAAAAAATTGATAAGCATGCTCGCTGACTACTAAAATTAGAGGTCTTGGCATATTCTTGTGGATCCCTGTATTTGTGTTACTTTCAAAAATTCATTGATTTTTCCTTATCAGTGATTGAATATAAGTCAATAGCAAATCATTCATATGGCTCATTCAACCGGGTAGATGATACAAAGGAAAAAAATCTGTCATAAATTTTAAAGCAGTTGATTCTCTCGGATAATGCATTTTATATTGTAAACATTAAAATTGTTCATTCTCTTTTACCGAAAGTGTATGATGATAATGATGAAAATATCATGGGCTTGCACAAGAACTGGATCCTTTGAAATAAGTGTTGACTGCTGCTCTATAGGTTCATTCTCTTTATCAGACTGAGGCATGTTATCTTCATCAGAACAGAAAACTATGCAGTTATATAAGTATGATTCTGGTACAGTTGGTATTTAGTGATTTTAACTTTCATCTGCATGAACTATTATAAGTTAACAAAATTCTCATTGCTCTTTTTTGTGCTATGAAACTTGGTTTATTTCTATTTCACTGCTCCAAAAAATGATCCCCACGCTGATTATTGATTGGAAGTTTGCATAGTACATAAAGTAAGTTGAAGTTGACATATGTCTTTTAGTATTCTCATAGTGTATAACACCGAGTTTAGTTTTGATATCGACTGGATGGGTTCTTTCTAGCTTAATGTTTCATTAATATGAACATCTAGAAATTTTGTAGAATTTCCCAGTTCGATCTCAGTGAATTTATACATTTTTTCTGGTTTTTTACTTTCTCCAAGTAATAATTCGACGCATTCCATGTCTTTCTAATGTTTTCAGTAATATGTCAGTATTTAAGTAGTTATATGCTTAAGATAGATCTAGTGCTACTTTTCCATTTTCAAGTGATTTGATACATTTTCCCTTCAGGTAAAGGTCTCCTTTTAAGGTATCGATTTCACAAGTGCGATTTTTAATTGTCTGGGAAAATCCATATGTAAAGGAGGTTTTTTTTATATATGCAAACATACAAGGTTTATTTCATTGCCAGATATTTTATCGTATCCCCTACTCAATTCAATTTTAAGGCTCCTCATTTTTTCTACTGTTTCCTAGGATAGGTACAGAAGGATATAAAATATTGATCTATTATTTCACTATAAAAAAACAACATATTAGATTGATTACAAAAACAGCAAAATAGTGTCAGGAGAATTAAGAAGACCAGGAGATACACCGATCAATGCCATGCTGAAGGAACTACAATGGAAGTCTGAAAGATTTTATATATTAACATACAATGATAACGGTATATAAAATGAATAATCACATATCCACAACGTACCTGAGTAGTCATACAATGAAAATCATCACTAAGAACTCGTAATACTATATATGTAGGAGTGAAATATAAAACAATTACTGAAAAATCAATTCATTCCGGAAGGTTAGCTTTCAACAGTTTGGAATTCTGTTAAGATGTTTACGAAGATGTCATCTATGGGATCAACAGAAAACTCAATCCTTGAATATCAAAGACAAACAAAGCTCCACAAGGCGATCAGTTGCCAAGCAAGCTTCGACATCGACGGCCGAATGAGATTCGTCTTTTGTCTTTCACTGCAAGATGTCATCGCCTTTACTTTCAGGCTTGTTTCTTTTGGGACACTTGAAGTGTTTGGTGGTGTTGAATCACAAGTTAATCTGACTGTAGGCTGCAGTTAAACAAATAGTAGCATTCAGATTCAAATATAAAAACTACTGAACTTCCTTAAAGACTGCAATATATTTAAGGTCCTTCTGTGAAGAATTATATGCCTTTATTGCTTGATAGTAAGGTCCTCTCTTATAACATGTAGATCGTTACAATGTCTGGTAATAATATTCATTTTCTTAGGATATCGGCTACTATTTCTAGAAAATAAGTTAGGATATTTCTTCACCAAGCAGACAAGATCCAAAAACGACAACAAGGGTATTACCAAAATACCAAGTTTAGCAAAGAACTCTTTACAAGAGACTCTGCGATTCTAGATTTGGGAATTGGTTTCAGATTTCTTTTTTGGTGACAGTAATAAATATTCTTTGTGAGTATACTATTCGAAACCAGAGCCCAAACCCCATATTGTTTACTGCAGCTTATATGTGGGATAAGCTTTGTTCATTGTTCTCAGTACTTTTCTTAGATCCGAATGCTCATTCGAGATGGTTAGGTGATCCCCACAATATTGAACCATACTGAAGAGTTGACTTAGCCAAGCCAAAATATAGAAGTCTCATTTTTCCATGTTATAATAATTATACTGAGTTTGGAACACACTGATGCTCTCTCTACATAACTTTTCTATCAAGTACAACTCCCTGAAACTACTGTCTTTGTTCTCTTCAGTTTTCCACTGATTATTAAATATAAATTATCTGAATACACATTTTTGGGGAGAAATCGAATATGGTATGTCTTCGAAGTATACAGCGAGAGACCATTATTGCTAAAATAATTCGCTAGTTCTTGTGATGCAGTATTAAAATATTTATTTATGACTAGTTACAGTATGTTCCTATCATATATTAGAATATCTTGTGTGTAAAGAATTATTTGATCTGCAGTGACACAGTACAGGTTCACGTTTCTTAGAAATATGATAGAAAAGAGAGGTCCCAGAATAGATTGGTGTGGTACACCAATATAGAGATTATAGTCCAGAATCAAATTTTGTTTTCTATTGGCTGAATAGGTGCTTGACTAGGCAAGCGAAACTCCATGGAACCTAAAACATTCAATTTTTTTTTTTAGTAAGTTGTGATTCATGGTGTAGTTGTGCCTATGAGAGTGTAGAAATAAGTAAACAATACCTACTATTATGAATAACAATGGTGGACCAATACCTAACAGTATACTTTATAGCTTGTTAAAATAATATTTTAATTATTAGATTCACCTGACTATTACATAAGGACACATTGTAAAATTAATTTAAGACTAATAGATAAGGCAATATTGTGAAATTAATTCAACACACTGAATCGAAACACGTGTCGAGGTGTTAAAATAACGGTTTGGTGTTGGGATAAAACTCCAGTAATATTCGTTATTCATGGTGTCGAAAGCTTTACTCAAATCATAGAAAAAACCTGTAACATTTTCCTATCATTCCTATACATTTATTGTCAAATTCATTGGTTGATTTTCAAAGACCTATTTGTGAGGGAGAAAGTAGTTCAAAATGCTCCAAGAAAGTGATTAGCCGTGTCGAGTATGAAGGCTCAAAAACTGTGGCAATATGACTTTGCGAGCAGTAGATCTAAAATTTTCAGAACCTTCATCTTCATAAATTGGAATGCATGAGTCCTACATCTGGAAATATTCCATATGCGAATGATTCATTTACTAATTCACATACACGCTTGGCAATATGTTGACCTACAGCTTTCAAGACTTTTCCGTGGATGCCATTGATACTTGCAAAAGGTTCAGAATAAGTTTTTTTTTGAATTATTTCCAGATCTTCTTCAGATATTACTGAAGACAGAAAGAAACTGGCATGAACCTTATCGCTAGATAAATTATATTTTGGTGTTTGTTGGGCAGACTTCCTCTGAGGATTACGCAGTTTCAGTTCTTTTTACAGTATTACTATATAATTGCTGTCTGGTCACAGCGACTTATACAAAAGAAATAAGTTTAGAGCCTATTTAGTCTTCTCCAAATTTACTTCTTTCTTTGCCACCCGCCAATATTCCCTGGGCGCCCTTCTAGGGGCCTCCAGATCTCTTGATTTGTAATTCCTGAACTGAAGATGTGAGACCAGAGATTGCTTTGATATCTATAGAGTCCGGTACATACTTGGGTCTGTTCGTCTTCCTCACATTGCCAACTCCAGGAGTCTTTCTCAGAGCTTTGTTAAACACACCTAGGGATCTTTTGTATTGATCCCATACCCCTTGCACTTCCAAAGGCTTTTCTACTTTTTTGTCGCATACGTACCAGATCTTAATTCCATCAGGGATCTTTCACGTTAGATCTTTGGTTAACAATGACTAGACTTGTTTCCAGGTTCGCCTAGTAGGATTCCCAGTTAGTTTATTAGGAATTTTAGTAGATTGTGATAGTTTACTACTCGCCATGTCACTTCTGACTTCCTTCATTAGCCTTGAAAAAATTAACCTGTCCAAATACAAAAATATAATCAATATTTGCAGTTAAAAGCAGAGTATTCAAAAAGTTGTATTTGAAAATAAAATGTAGTAACATAAGAACTGAATAAAACAAGGTGTTTCAAAAGTTTGTAAAATATACAATACAAAAATATTTATACACAAAAGGTGGTGTAAATATCATATACTTTATGGACGGAGACATCAAAAACAGTATTGAATCATCAAGGCCACAACAACTCAATATTGGGTGACTGCATTTTCTCGATTTCTTTGTACTGCGAAAAAACGACCAGCCATAGGTATGCCTGTAAAAAATAATAATTTGAAAACTTGTCAAGAGCTTTTGCCTAATATCTATCACTTACGTTATAAGCCATCCAGCACCAAATGATGAATGCATAGAAGACAGCGTCAAGCTAAAAAACATTTCAATTAATGATTTTTGATAATGTCTGCCCTTGCTTATTAAAACATTTACTCATGTATGGTTGTAAATTATTTGACAACTCAAGTTGAGAGTTTCCTACGAACTGAAACTGGTCTGCAAATATAATCACTCAACTGATTTCAATGAGGTCCTACTGCTGGATGAACAAATGTCTGTCGGATATAATTCAATGTCCGCTGTTGTATTACCAAGGGAATACTTTTTCTGGCAGACATTTGTGAGATCCTAGTATGTAGGAAGTTAGGGAAAGGGTGAAGAATTTGTTTCAGATCAGTATTCAAAACTGTGAATATGTTATTATATTTCTATTCCTAGTTTAATATCATCTTAAATTTGAATGGCATGTAGCAACTCGAAGATAACAGGAAAAAACTTTGGAAAAATATAATGAAATATGGAAAAAATCAGTATTTATTTGAACTTATTGTATGGTAGGGATTCCGTAGAAAAAGAATCTTGAAACCTCTATCCCACAAAATAAAAGAAGAATATTTCTTGTTATTGTGTTTTGTTTAAAATTGGTTATAAACCTACCAGTAGTAGCTTGTCAAAGAAAAGCTTCATCATCTTTTTCTTTGTAGTAATGATATGTATTACAAATGAGTATGTAGGACAAAAAATCATTCTGGTTGAAGAAATACCTCTTTAGTAAATTATGTGTTATGAGAAAAATATATGCATCAATGTCTCACAGACCAGTTTTGGCAAAAGTCAGTAGAATACAAATACACCACTGGGCGAATCCTGAAATTCATAACGAATAGTTAGTAAGAAACACAGAATATTTGACTCGAAAGGATACTACTGGCATTTTTATCAACTCAGGGAATGTTTGAAACAGTGATTTTGACTATTCACATTCTCTGCTCATTTGATGACTTGAACAAAAATTAGAATTATGATAATTTCACATAAAGTAAGATCAATTTTTCCATGAAACAGATAATCTCCTTTTTGAATTTGTTTGAACGTTAGAAAAATATATCTACACTATAGAAATTCAAGACTGCTATGACTAGAACTAGTCATCTCTTTATGATACTAACTTGGTTAGGGAAAGTTTTGTCGAGAAACAGAATGTTATTCTGGTATGGGAGAAGTATTTTCAATAGATTCCTAGAAGAACTTATTACATCTGAAATAACGAGAAGGTCAGTGGGAAAACTGATTGCACTAACAATTGCAAAGGAGTTTGGAACCCAACTAAATACTTTGAGATGTTATATAATTAAAAGAATAGGAACTAGTTCCCCATAGTTCTAATGTGTCCAAATGGGAGGATGAACTTTCCCCAAAATGGATGACTGGGTTTTTGTTAGATATTGTAGCAAAAAAGTGTACATAGATTTGTAAGAATGGTGCATATTAGATGAAAACAAAATGAGGTACTATAAAACTTGATCAAAAATGTCCCGAAGACAATATTTCCAAACAGATGGAAGAGATCATTGAACCTCCCACATTTTCCATTAAGAATGATGAAATCTTTGCCAGCATACATTCAAAAAATTTCCAGCTGAAAGACTTCAGTTTATATTTATTATCTTTCCAATTTAGAGCAAAAAATTTCGAAGTTCCTAAATCATTTACTTGTACATTTCAGAGTTATGCTTTTTCACTTATATCAAGAATAAAGGGTTATTAACTAATGTTTCACTGAGTTTCAATAATCGGATCAAGTATCCTTAAGAACCTTCTCACCTGATACTTGATCCTGCAGGCAACTTTCAAAAACCACATAACTGGAACTTTATGGTTCAGCAATTCTCGGTTTTTACTTCTGAGTATAATTTGAAAAATAAAATACCAATATTCACGAACCTATAGCAATAACTATGAAGAATACAAAATCGAATTCTAGGTCGAGTAACCTCAGTTTTCTCAACTAATTACAAGCTCTACTACTCCTTGAATTTTCCCTACAATCATACAGTGCCGAACTTCTCTGACAGACCAAGTGCAACTACTATAAGGTCAAACTATCCTGATGTGGAAAAGATCCATAAACAAATACATTTTAAATATTCACACTTACATAAATATAATAACCACCAATCAGCCACAAACCAAATACAAGCTGGAACAATATAGCAATTCCAAAACTTATTAGCCAGGGAACCATGAACCCTCTAATTAATCTATGAATACCATACACAAGCATCACAGCTGATCCTATCATTTGAAAAAAATAAAATATAAGCAGCCAACCCCAAACTTGCATAGCTAAAACAAGTAACTGAGTTAACATCACAAAAAAAACATGTAATGGTTTTATGGATAGATTGCATGAAGGTACAAACTTCGAAGCAACTTTGATTACTCACAAAAGCGTACATCAGCTTCAAAAAGGGGATTGTATAGTTGTGAAGAATCACCACCGAGCATATTAAATACGATAAATGTTATAAGGACTATACTCATAGCCCCTGTGTAATAGGCTATAGCTGTACAGGCAGTTTTCAAATTATCAGACCAAATGCATGGTGACCAGCAGGAATTTAATAAAACCATCTTTGAAAGCTTATACTCTTGCTATCAGCTATTGATGAGCTCGATGATATTTTTTTTAGATTGAGTACCTAAAATTTTGTATTTAAACTAAATGATTCACTGGAAAACAGTCACGCCCAACCTCAAATTAATGACAAGGACCAGCAACCTCAAAACATAAACAATAACAAACTGTTAAGGGTATGGTCCGAAACTAATAAATATTTTGGCTGTGTTCCAAAACTAACCGATTTTGTCACATTAGGTGAGTTTTTAAATCCAACAATAATTATTTAATGAACTGATTCGACCAATAGAATTTCACTTGACAAAAGGAAGGGCATTTTGGTGTTGTATGGTTTGCTACCCTAGTCTAATGACAAATGTCAAAACCAATTCCTGTGTCATTTTCATAAATTCAAATTTAATTCGTAGTCTAGGTATAATCGTAACTGTTACTACTTGGTTATATGTTAGAATAAATTGGTATTCATAATAATTTGATAATATATGACAGTTCGCCAGTGGAATCCAGCAATGCATTCGTGGTTCAGCCTAGCACCAATGATGAGACCTTGGCGGGTCGAAACAGCGCTGCCTAGTGTTGTATGATGAATGCTTTGTTTCCTTGCAGTCAAAGCTGCAGTTAAAGAACAAAAAAAACGATTCTCGTTCGGTGCTCTCTAAGTCGAAGCTTGACTTTGCAACGGTGCGCCTTGGGGAGCCTCATTTATCTTTGGTATTCATTGAATTAGTATTCTATTGATCCGATAGATGGCGTCTTCGTAAGGGGAGATGTCATCGTCTCCCCTTACTCAGACTTGTTTTTCAAGGACGGTTGAGTCAAGTAATGCATTCATGTTTCAGACTAGCACCACTGATGAGATATATGGCGGGTCGAAACAGCGTTGTCTGATATTGCATCACAGATATACTTTGTTTTTCACTCTGGTTTAATACAAAATATACAGTGGATTACAAGGGATAGTTCAGAAAAGAAGTTCGAAATTTAGAAATAAATTTAATGATGATCAACTGACCAATTGATGAGTGCTTTATTTTACAAGTAACATCCTTAAGAATGCTGTTATATGTGGTAAGCCATTCAACTGACTTCCTCTGTATGTACAACTTTTGGAAAAATCCCAACTTGGATAACCTGCTCTCTCTTGCTTCAAGCCAATTTTTTAAGGGGTTTCTTGTGTGGTCCTCAAATTTTAGGGTCCCATCTTTCAGTAGCCCCAAGAATTTTTTATAGATGAACTATCTTCAAAAGTTGTTTTCCCTAAAAGTAGCTCCTGTAGAGTAACATTTGAAAGTGAGTACTATGGCTTCTCTGATATTGAATGTTAAGAGAGTATCGTCACACTACAGTTTGATTGTTTTGAGACCACGCTTCACACGATCATATATTTTTTTAAAACACATAATTGTGGTGTCATCAGCGAAAATTGTAAATTTTCCCATTAGTTTATCTGCAATCTGAGTAATGGAGTACCGAAGACAAATAATTGTCAAACATAATGAAAAGGAGGGGTCCGAGATTGGAGCCTTGATGTACTCCCGAGTTGACACAAAACTTTTTAGAAGAATCACCATTGTGTTTAACGATGAAAGACCTATCTTTTGAGTGATTTTTTATTATTTCGAGAAAATTATCTGTCAACCCAAAACTATTCGAATAATTGAGGAGAACATCATGATCCACTTTATCAAATGCCTGTGAATACTACATCTAATTTTTTCTTAGGACCACTATGTCATGTGCACGATTAGTAAAAAAAATGAATTAGAAACTATAAATTTGCCAGCTACGAAAACATGTTGTTGGGGAATAACATATTTCTCAACAAGGTGATACAATTTTCCGTAATTTAGAAGGTGCACACATAATAGAAATGCACCTATAATTTTTTATATCTATTCGTTTTGCGGACTTAGTTATTGAAGTGACTGTGATCATTTTTCATTTCAAACGAATCACTTTTGTTAATATTATAAGATTAAATATATGTAGTAAAGGTTCACTCAACCACTCGTTACAAACTTCAAGAATATATGGTGGAATTCCGTCTATTCCAGTTGATTTATTAGGTTTTAGCTTTTTAACTGCCTTATCGTAGTCAGAGTTTGTAACTTCCAAGATTCCAAGTACTTTTTTTCAATTAGTATGACTCCAAAACTCAATTGGATCATTTGATAATTTTTTCATATTTCATTTATATATCTACTTTCTTCTAATTTAATGGGATTTCTCAACTTTTCCTTATTTATACATATTTTTCTTCAAAGGAGTCTGATATACTTTGCTTAATCTCCTATATCTCTTCTTTTCTTTGATTGTATCACGTATTTCTTTAGTAAACCATTGAGAATTTTTCCTCGTGTTGAAGATCTCACGAACTTTGCTGCTGATTCATTTATTATGTTATTTCATATATTCATCTTCAACTGTGATACAAACGTTATCACAATACTTCTGGACATTTGCATATTTCAGTCTAATTTTTCAATTCTAAACAAATTGTTTATCTCCCTTGGATATTCCTAATATAGAAGAGTTTGTCAATGTCCTGACAAATTGACTCCTTCCTGCTAGATAAAAACACAGCCAATTATATTCCACACCTTTGAATCCATAATGTTGGAGTTTCTGTAGTAGTCTATGATTGACGCAGTCGAAAGCTTTCGACATATTCCATAATCAAAAATGGGGGTTGAAAATTTAATAAAAAGGACATAACCCATTCACTTCAAAAAAACTGTTTTTGGTCATGTTCGGGACATATTTAAATCATTATACTTAACAATTATTCAAAATTTATATTTTTATTCTTACTTTAAAAAAACCTTGTAGGTATATGGAATTCAATTCAATAAACTAACAAGAGGCTACGAAGGTCGCACTCCTTTCCGGAATCCTTCTCTGATATAATAATGCTTACAATGTGTTCATAGACAATATAGTGTCCTTAACATGCCATAACAAACTTTTTGCGGAGAAAACATAAAATGTCCATTAACCCAGAGTCAATTTGAAGGGCTACCCTGTCAAATGATAATAAAACATTCGTAGCTAACTTGAATCGCCTTGTTTTCATCCTTTCTAAATTCTGTATTTCTTTGCTGAACTTCCAAATCCAATAACATTCTAAGTAAACATTGAATCAATTTCTATAAAACAAATAAATCTACTTATACCTACAACTTCATTTTCATTAGTTGAAGTTATCTCTCTAACGTAATAAAGAGGCAATCTCTTCGCCAAACTTCATGTTTTAACAAGAGAAAACTTTCAGTCCGACTTCCAAACTTAAATTATCAAAGAAAATGAGCTGGACTGCGCTTGCTTGATATACTTCCATAATATGGAAGTAAGTACCATATTATGGTCTTGTACAAAACTTATTGAATACAGATTTGAATGAAATATTTATAGTTTATTTCTGTAAAATAATTTATGAAATAATATAAAGTGTATATGTAAAACTTTTCATGATGCAAAATAATATAATTTGTTTACGTATATGCCATTTTTCTCAACCGCTTTTTCTGCAAAGCAACTAATTGAAATATAAAAAATATTCTACTCTACATTTTGTGAAAAAGAAAGAAAAAGGGCAAATCCATTTGTAATCAAGATGTTGAGAAACAAAATTTTACATTCCTATAAGTCAAAACTCCACATTCTGATTAACAATCTGGTGCTTGGTGCTTGGGAAATCTTTGGATCATAATTCTCGGTTGGTAAAAGATAAAATTCTAGCCGTTCTTAGGCTCGCAAAGGTTTTTTAATGTATTCTGAGACATGAGAACAGTTAATTGGCAATAAAATGATTATGGAACAATAGAAAAAACAATGTTGCAATGCTTAACTTCAGAATTGTAATGAAAGTATTTCCATTTTTTATATATTCTATTCCAAAAAAATTTGCCACTCCCTATATTAACAGCGGATCAGTAATTCACATGCGATGTATCCTTGAAAGCAACTACTGGAGTATGGCACTCGTGCCAAATGCTGTTTAGAAGGGATTGCCAAGATACTTTAATGAATTATCGTTTAAAAACAATATATTAACTTGTCTAATGATACAGGGTCATAGTCAATTGCATATATCCAATATGACCAAATTAAACAAATCATTGTGATTTGAAGTAGCAACAAATTATTAATATCATTAGTAAGCCTGAACATCTTCTGTTTCGAAAACGCCATCAGTGGTATGAACAGAAAATTTAGCCCTACCGCGCTCTGCAAACCTATAAGTTCTAAATCGACCGCCAAAGCCAAAAAATAAAGTATTCATGATCCAACACAAGATATCGTTGATTCGACCTGCCATGGGTCTCATCAGTGATGCTAGACTGAACCACAGGTACATTATTGGACTCAATAGGGAAGGATTATGACCAGATAGGACGTCTATGGGAAACATTAGAGCTCAGTCAAACAGTAAAACAAAAATAAACTCCTGTCATCAAGGGCGTTAGACAATCCCTGCCGGGTGGGATCTCACATGTGGAGGTAACAGTCTTTCTAAATAGCGCGTCATCCTAAGGTGTGTGTATCAGTGCCCAAAGGATGTTATCACTCTGAGTCACTGACATAATCTTCGAAATGTATGAAGCCTTGCGGAGGTAAAGCGGGGCTAAGTCCTTGTCCTAGTTACTTGTAAGAATCTTTAGGGACCATGCAGTAACCAAAAAATCCGAACCTAACTATTCAGAAAAGATGGAAGTCGGCTAAACGAACCCGACTATCCTCTCTGTAACATCGGATCGAAAACAAGAGAGATATCTGCTTTCGGGTGGTGCAGCTAGGAAGCGACTTGAAGCCTCTTCAAGAACAGGATATATCGAGCAGCAGAATCAAACTCTGCATCAGGAGAGGAAACAGCCTCCTCCTGAGCAGGTGAGCAAAAGCTTACGCTCAAACGACGATTCACCTAAACTAACGGCCAAAAAGCTTCACATGGATGAATAAAATGTATCGTCAGGTATAGCTGACGTATAGATGTCCTCATAAAAAAAAGCTTTCTGCGGTCATTGAGGTAGTAATCTTGTGCCTTGAAGATTCAATAATCTCAGTATCGATCAATCAACTTGAATCTCTTCATTATGGCATAATGGCTGTCGTAGAGGATATTAAAAGAAAATGGTTCACAGGTACGACCGCAGAGCTGAACAATTTGACCTGGAAGGTTACAGGTTTCCTCAAAGGATTAGGAGAGCGCCTTAGGGTGCCTTTTCGATATGAAATCAAAATAAGAGGTAAATGAATATTTTGAAGGAGAGAAATTACTGTGTGCTTCGGGCGTGCGAAGGTAAGTTTTCACCAAATTTCGTAAAAAAAATTGTGGGAGGTAAAAATAAAATACCAAAACGTCGATTATTTGGATTTTTCACGTTCATTTGAGGTTATTTGAAAACAGCGTAGACACAAAAGGTATATATCTTTTTATTACCTACAACTTTGTCATTTTTTTTTTTCGATATGACGTGTGCTTTTCCCAGAAATCGTAAATAAGCCTTTGGGTATCATCATTTTATCATTTTCAAAGGCTTCGGCCCTGGCCCATTGACATAAAAAATTTAGACAAATATGTAGTCGGTTCGGTCGATAGTTGGAAATACGTCTAATTTTCCGTACTACTACAGTGCCACCCTGTAGATTTTATGCTATTTTGCACCGAATAAAAATAAATCAGATGCTCTATATAAGGCTTCAGAAGTGTTATTCGTAATGTTGATGATAAGGAAATAGGAAATTGTTTAATGTTTTCCCAAAGAAAATAGGAACTTTTCGAAGTTAGCTAAACGTCCCAAACTTAATATTGTTGCAATATTTACAGAAGGGTTTCTTCAATTAAAGTGATTGGAGGGGATGGGAGAATGAATCGACCCACCCTCCCACCGTATAAAAGTATCCAGCAGAGTTCTGAATCTCCACTCGAGTTGGCCATTCCAAGTGAGAAAGTTAGAGAGTTGGTTGAAATTTTTTGAAAATGTATAAAGTTGTTTTTTTTATTGTTTTCGTAGCATTTCTTGGTTGTTGCACTGCTCAGGTAAATTTTTCACCTAACTGGGGAAAGCGGACACTCATTCCAGATGACAACAATAACAATTGCAGGGAAAATGTGGATACAATCATGCTCATTTATAAAATTATACAGGTTAGTAAAACTCTCCATATTTTCCAGCACGAAACAAGTCATTTTTATTCCAAAGAGTGTAAACTTTCACGACCGAAATTAATGGTGTTGAAGTTATTTTCCGGGATTGTGGACCGTTGTCTGTAGGTTTTCAAGACTGAAGTTTCGTCTACGACTGCGGTAGATAGGTACTATCAAAGCGATGACACAACGGACGAAGTGTTGTGATAATCAGTATCTGCTTTGAGGACAACCTGACCAATGTAATGTCTACCGTAGTCGTAGACGTCAGGCATACAAGCCACGGCCAACAAATTCGGAAAATGACTTTGAGACAATTTTTGTACCATTCGTTCTAAAAAAACACTAATTATTTGAGAAAATAATCATATACCTATGTAATTATAGGTACATCTGAGTGACAAATATAATCGACTCGAATTATTCTTTATTTGAAATTTTGGAAGCGAATTGACGAGAAGTTGGATTCTTCAATTAGTGTTTCATATTTTTCAATTCGGGTGGTCTCTTCATTTCGTTCATTGTATGTTCAATTACATGAAAAATTGTGAAATAAGTACAGTCGTTTGGAAGGAAAATTTATAGGATAACTTCAACTTCAAGCCTGCCGGAAAACAACTATTCTCCGGCGAATATCAAGCTGGATATTGCATTGTATCCGACAGATATTTATACAAGATACCTCACAGAGATTAATCTCGTAGATTTTTGTCTTTCATCCAGCAGCAGGACCATGCTGAAATTATTCGAATGGATCACCTACAGCCCGTTTTCGAGGTATTACCACTCATCATGAACGAGAAACATCTGCAAGACTAACCTCTGTGAGGTATCTTGCATAAATGTCTGTCGGATATCATTCAATATCCAGCGTGGTATCAGCCGGGGAAGTAGTTGTTTTTCGGCAGGCATTTACCAGCATCTATGGTGTAGGTAGTTGTGAGACATAAATATTTCGAGATTTCATTACGAAACATTTATTTTTCAGCACGATACAGTCTTCAGACACGTTTTAATATATAATTGAGATTTTGAGCTCAAAAAAACACCATTTTGAAGTGATCATTAATCGAACTTGGTGAATTAACGAAAAAATCTAGCACCACTATCACTTTTATTTGTAACTAACGTATGAAAATGTCCGTATAGGACGAAACTGCAGTTTTCAAACTTATACAATAAGTAACTACAATAAGAAACTGCAGTAACGTTAAAAGTGGTAAAAAACATAGAAATTTTCATTTCTCTTTTCATTATGATTTCTTACCACGTAGTAACGGCTACATTCATCAATTTAATATTGATTGGAGTCAAGAAGAAAGTGATGGGAATAAAACATGTTTAAAATATGATTTTCCGATAACCAGCTATCGCACCCCTACGAACGACAACCCTCAAAAATCGAAACTTGTGCGAGCTAAGGACTAACGAGGTCTTACCTTTTAACTGTGATTCCTAATTATGCAATCAACTTCCACGATGTAGTTTTTGCAACAGAGGATGCTGATGTGTTAGTAGTATTGATGATTTCAGCGCTGGGTGGTAAAGAAATATTTTTTAACGATTAAAAAACAATGCCTTACAAAAAATGTATTCGACAAAAATCATGTTTAGGAAATATCCTAATATAACAAATTATTTATTCTTCATTCATGAATTCAGTAAATGTGATACTATAGCCACTTTTTATAATAAAAGAAAACATTCTTTCATTGGAATTTTTATTAATTTTTTAGAAAGTTAAGTGCATAGTTGAAACCAAGTGGCGTAGTATTTTTTAATGAAGGTAACGACTCTATTTTCACTAAATATGGTGCCGAAGCTGTCAATAACTTGAAATAACTGTGACATAAGTATTTACTTAAAAGAACAAGAGCGGTAATCATTTTCAAAGACATTGACAGCTTGATCCTGCATGATAAAATCCGCAGGGATTAAAGTGAATTATCGTTAGACCATATTCATAGTCGCATTATAGTTACCGGCAAATAAAAGCACATGTATTTACATTAATCAATGTGAATTGTCAATTTGGTATATCTCTGAAAACACTGATCTGAACCCTCCTGAGGAATAAAGTTGTCAAAAAAAAAATCTAAAAAAATGTCTTTAGAAAACAGATATTCTTTAGATGAATAATCGATTTAAGTATAACTACGATTAAGTTCCATCATTATTACATCACAACAACTAACGTTGGTGCCCTGTAGTTATTACGTAGATATAGGTATGAAGTAATGTTGTTATACCAATATATACGAAGAATATAAAAAAATACTATGCTAAACTGAATGTTTCATATAAATATTCCACTTATTGTTTAAACAGTGTAAATAATTCTGTCCCCGCTTCAGAAGGACTCTGATTTCAAATGATATAATAAAACGAAAATTTCAAAAAATTGCCTGTTTTACAAATGCGTTGACGCCACAATTAGAGAAAATAACACCGAAACCAATAAGTCGAAAAAGTCAGTTAGTGAACAACACAATGACTATATGAATATCTATAATGCATGCCAGATTACTATCTTTTGATTTGGAAGTTTATTCAAGTCCATATTTTACCTCCCACTAAAACTTTGGAAGATTTTTTTGAAATAACTTCACCCGATTTTCAGATAAAAAGGTATCAAAAAAATTTGCTACTTCTTTGAAAGAAGGCTGCACATTGTTTTTAGACTAATTATTTTCGAGTCAATTCATTATTTTAGAATCATATGGCCTATCATTCATATACTAGCTGATGCGGCAAACGTTGTCCTCCCGTATAAATTATGTCTATAGGGTACCAGATTTGATGCCAAATGAAAATAGGAATACAAAAAAATTATGCCAAAAAAATATTTTCTTGGATAGGGACACCCTAAACACCTAGCGATATGAAATATACTTAACGATCTACCAACAAATTATTACAAAAATTTCATAAAAATCGATCGCACCGTTTTGAAGGTGTGATAATATAGTTTTTTATACAGGTTGTTTATCAAACATGCGGAAAAAAATTAAGGGACTATTCTAAGGATATTTTGTCCTTTGATGACTTTTGATAGGGCGCTTGGTTTCGAAAATACGGGGCGAAAAACAATTTCGACAATAACAATTTTGGTAATTTTAAAATTATTAACGTAGCCGAAATATAAGTAGGTACTTATAGCTTACTATACTGGACCCACCAAGTAATAAAAAATCTATCAATTACGTTGGTTCCTATCAGCAACATTCCGATTACAGTGGAAGATATGGAAGATTTGAGAAATCAGATAATTGCTGGGTGTAACACAATCAGAAACGATCCTGGTATTTTTGAAAGAGTTCGGGAGTCGATGAGTCAAGAAGTTATAAAAATCATCAGTTGCAAACAAAATATCAAATTATTTTCTTCCTATGATATTACTTTGTAGGAGAAGTTATGCCCAAACTTACTTTGTTTTTTGGAGAACATGATATTTGTATTATTTTCTTTATGTGTATTATAAAACTGGAGATATGATAATCCCATCATAATCATGATAATTTTTTCATTGTGCATTCCCAAGTCTCTTACAATATTGCTGTGTGGGGTTAGGTACTCTTCCAAAATTAATAAAAATGTTTGACTCCCAGAAAAGGGTTAAACGTTTGTTTTCAACTAGATTATCGAGAGTCTTGCAAACAATATCTTATTGTTGTGCAAGTTCTTATTTGTATACCTATTTCTCCAATGTCCAGCAAGGGTGTTCCATAGAGTTTCAATTTCTTATTTCTTACCTTGACTTCAGCTATATATGAAATGAAAAAATGAAAGAAGACGAAAGCGAAGATAGAAGCTTAGACATGGATTACCACATTAACTTTAGTATGGGAATATCATCGGGGACATTACTTTCAAAACAGGTAAACTCTCATGTCAAAAGAAAAATTGAATGTCTTGGTAACACGTTGTCTATTCAAGGCTAAAAGGCTTGTCTACTATCAGTGCAGATTGTTATGTTTTTGCCAGATGCCAGAAATTTCTTTCCTGGTTATTTCTTTTGTGGCAATTTAGAATCCAGCCAGTTCTGTTTGAACTACGCTGGTATTTTTTCCCATTTCCCACTTAATCCTTAGGCTTAGTGATCTGGAGTACACTCAACATCCTGAGCCTTCTTTCGTATTTGAGCTGTCTGTATAATGCGTATTGCATTTGTAGCATCTTACTCTGTGTTCTGTTTTATTTGTATTTTGTAGGGTTTATTAAACACAAACCTGGGTTCAATCACTTGTTGCCTGCAGCAGAGGTTGCGCAGTAAGCGATTCCCGTCATAGGCCCAGCCTCAATTGACCCATTCCTACTTCGAGGTTTACACCAGCCGTGCGCAATCGTAACATAGTCATTAACGCAACCTCCTTAACGTACAGGTCCGGTTAGACTAGTGCCCTGTTGGCATCATCTTTGTTTTTTTTCCATAAATGAATAGAACAATAGTTTATTGTTCATAAACTGTTTATGCTTGAGGAAGCTATTGTATAGCGAAACACGTGTCGCGGTTTTTGTAAAACCCTTTTATAGTGAAAATCATATAACAAACTATATTGATTAGTTTTTGAGTGGGATTTGATCCCAGATATAATACCTATACTGTTGAGGTTTTGTGTGAGTTCCTATGCTACCTTATTAAGGCATGAGCAATATAAGCCAAGAAAAGTGTAAATATATAGGGTTTTCTTCCACACGGAGTACCTACTGGTACGACTTTATTGGTCCTCAATACTCCTCAACGCCACACCAACCTACCAACACAATCAAAATTATGTTCGAAATATGACATACGTCAATAAGTCCAGAAAAACACCTGTACAGATAACAAGATTGTTGAAATGGGTGTTATGAGTAGATGGGGGCAAAACGCAATAAGCCAATAAGGCTGCAATGTTTTCCAGAGATTTGGAAGAAATAGACAAGTCAGGCGGTTCCCAGGAAGTGAAAAAAATCTTTCCACATAGATATTCACACTTCGATAACTGAAACAAGACTGGTGCAAATAGTGATCAATAAACGTCCTAAACATCAATATGAGCATCGTTACACTTCAACATACATTTCTATCATTATGTGTCAATATGCTTTCAAACTGTTTGAAGTTTCCCTGAATGATCAATATATAGCATTTCAATACATATTGATCAATAATATTGACCGTCTAAGAGAGTTCTTTCTGTATATACCTATTTTTTTTAATTTTGATTTTTTGTTTCAGAATGAAGCTCAAAAATTGGTGGAATGTGAGAAGTTCTCGAACTGAATAATTAGAGTTATATGTTACCTATTATGTGCCCATGTGAAAATTTATCTATTGAAAAATAAAAGTTATTGTAATTATTAAATATGTCAATTTTTTACTTGGAATGTTTCTAGGTATATTTAAATAATTTTGACAAACTTTGATTGATTTTTAGATTCATTGTTTTCAGGAGCCTGTCAGTATCGTTGGAAAAGTGTAGGTATTAACTTCAAAAACATGTTTGAATTTGAAGTGGTTGAGGAGCTGAAGACAGATTGTCTGAAAAATTTGATCTCTAGGCTTAGATTTATACCACAAATGCAATATTTCCAAGACCAATAAACCATTTTTCCATACTGCATAACTTTTTTCGACGTGTTTTTCGCCATATCAAATTAATGTCATAAGGTGATAAATTAGACTAATTCTAAACATTAACTTAGTCTAACAGGGGTCTCCGTGTTTCCGCCTACCCGTAATGATCCCGAATTTGAATAACTAGAGAAATTTTTGCATAATAAATTTTACGTTTGTAAGACAGAAAAATTCTCATTCGGCAAGCAAAACTTCTTGCAAGGGACCACCCTGTGGGCCCGTGTTTATTTCGAATAAACAAAATTTGAATTTTCGTCTTCATAAAAGTAAATATCCATGCATAGTTATAATGGATAGTATTTTTTTCAAATATTTTTGTCGGAAAAATAACACTTCATGAAAACAAATGTAGTTCATTGTCTGAAATTTTTATTTTATACCTGTTACTTTTTCCCAAATTATCGTGGCGATGGTAGTGGATACAGGTAATTTGTGGTGAAAAATTAAATTAAGTTTTAGGTTTGATTACCAATTAAAATCATCTCCTTGACATTTCAAATTACCCTTGAAATGTTCTTATTTTGATCAGTGCAAAATTCGTAATACTACTTTTTTTACCTATATTTTCTCAGTAGAAAATTGAACAGTGCCAAAAAAGTTTATTGGGATCTATTAAGAATTTCCTACAAAATGAAATATATATTTTAAAATAAAAACAAATGTTTACTATCCATTCCTCAAACAAAAAACAGTAAAGTTCTCACCTTCTTTCGAAATAGTATTTTTTAATGTGTAAGTTGAATATATTCCTTACCTATTTCAGTGTGTAAATCATAACAGGTTTTTATGAACAAGCAGAAGTACACGAAAATCATTTACTCCAGAAAGGATCTGGTAATAAAGATTTTTTCAAACTTTAACTAAACACAAATAATGAAAGAATATCAGAGTCAAGCAACTTCTGGAATATCATATGCCGATACAAACCAGAGTTGTTTCGGATATGCATATAGAAAGAGGTATGAAGTCCATAGTGCATAGAAAATATGTTAAAACTAACAAAATGATTCACTTAACTATGAAGTGTGGATGATGTACCGTCATCAGCCAGTAATTCTGCAATATGCAATTCAAACAATAAAGAAATGAGCAGAATATTGTTACAGATGACCAGGCAGCACACAAGCACTGATGCCTGTGAAGTACTGGCAAACAGGAAAAAATTGAATCTATACTGGGTTGCTACACAAGCCAATTCACATCACTGTTGAAGAAGCTACCGTGTAAGCGAAACATATTGTGATATATTTCTCAAATAAAGTTTGTGGAGATCAAATCGTAAGGTGTAGTTTATAAAATTACTCGATAAGAGCCTTGGTAGAATTTGTCCACACTATAATAGAGCCTCTCAACAAGGAATTCTTTTACTTTCTTTCTGAATTTCTTTTCATTATACACTCGCCTGGAAAGGTGATTAAATCACTTCTTGCTATTGAAAATCATAGAATTTTTTGTGAGGGCTAGAGTAGGCGACGGAATTTTTTGTGGATAAGATACACTGTTTCCAAAATAAAAAGACATACTATGGTCAGAATTTTTTGCTTCACAAATAATGGGCTGCATGAATCCCTGTAGCTAGCCTTGCATAAACGAAACGAAATTGTGTACAATCTCCCCAGAAACAAATTCCATAACATAAATAGGACTCAATTTGTGCAAACTGAACTGATCTTGTAATAGTAGTGTCTAATTCTCTTGCAACAACTCTCTCTGCATGACATCCTGCTGCTAGTTTTTTACATAAGTAGTCGACATGGGAATCAAATTTTACATTTTCATCAATTAAGAACCCTAGAATGTTTCTTTTTTGAGAAAATATTACATTCACACGGCATACTGAATTAATTTTATTCTAATTGATCCGTTCCATAAATAACCACTTCCTTAGTATCCTTTGTCGCTACAAACCAGAATTTTTACTATTGGCTACTTCTGAAAAAGATTAATAGAAAGCAAGGTCACGGTATAGTCACAACTGAAAATTGAAGTACCAATACCAACCACCCAAAGAGTACACGTACCAACTATTAATTTGACATTGTCGAGCAGTGTAACTTCTGAGTGTACTAAGCACCTCTGTGAATGGGAGGCTGAAACTTATAGGATCTCATTATAGTCGATATACAAAGATCTCATTGTTATTTCTTTATTAGGAGTGCCTTTAGTCGACAGCTTTTAATAAAATATTTTACTTAGGGCCGGTTTATCAATATGTAGTTAAATGCTCCTGTTAGCTACCTCGAAGCTAAGCTTAGCTGATAGTCAATGTTGTAGTTACTACTCAAATCGTTTATCATACCCTAACTGATGCTAATGTTTAATAACTGTTAGTTAACTAAGGTTGGCATAAGTGACTATTTCAGGGGCTTGTTTTTATTGGAGGATTGATTTTCAAAAATGACAGCTGCTAACAAAAAGTTCATGAGTTATACATAATAACCTATATGAGTTGAGAGGGCATATGAAAAACGAAAATGAGCAATAAAAGAACATCCAATTTTACCGAAACAGACAGATCACTCCTAATAAAAATTGACAATTCCTATAAATTTATCATTGAGTGCAAAAAAAAAAACTGATGCCATCACATGGAAGAAGAAAGAAGAGGCCTGGAAAAGAGTTGAATTTGATTTTAATTCCTCTACATCAGGACCTGTAAGTCTCTACCTCATCTAATTCTTTGAAAGCATCATTACGTTCATTAACAATGTAAGGTCTTCTTTGAACTCCAATATATCCTCATCTTCGTCATTCAACAAATGGAAAACTTCTTTAATCAAACAATTATAGTAATTAACCCTTTACTTGCAAAAAGTATTTCTCAAATTATCACAAAAAACATAAATAACCTAATTTCGCATGCGCGACCACATAACCACAGAATATCGGAACTGATATTCTGTGACATAACTGTCAGCTTAAATAAAAAACTATCACTTTCTAGCGACTGTTACGGTCACTGAGACTTCAGCTACCAGTTGATGGTAACATGATAACGAAAAACAGTTTGACTAGGAGCTAAGACAAAACCATTAGTCAAATGAAGTTAGCTGGCGATTGATAAACCGGCCCTTAAGAAAGGAGTCCAGATGATAACACCAGGTATGCCTCTGAAATAAGACGGTTGTATATGTTGTCAAGTGTGTTATGGTGTTATACATTATTTTCGAAGTGGAAACTGGAAATCATACACTGTGACCATCAATTTTCCAATCTTATAGTGATTCAAATGGATATTAAAGTTGGCCGCTTCTTTTCAAGAGTTACTTTTAAGTACTGATGGGTCATCGAAGGGAAATGAGAATTACAGAGGGTTTCTAACAATGAATTTCATGAACTGACGATAAATTTGATGCTCCAGTTTGTTATCCTTCGCATTCTATAAAACAAATGAATGAATGGATGATTATAAAAAAAGGACACGATTAATTTTTTTTTTAGGGTTTTGTGTTGAGTACAGTTTTGTGTTCTGTAAGGTAAGGGTAGATGCACATTTTGATGTAGAAAGAGATATCAGTTCCTCATTGGTAGTGCGTTTCAATCAAAAATATTTTCAAAATTGGAGAAACTTGAGTATATTGGCCCATGATAAATAAAACTTCAAGTGGAGATTATCAGTAAATTGAGTGTATTGAACTGAACGATATTGTTGGTTTTAATTTTTACTGAGTTTTAAATCGGTTTACGTTAGGTTACTAGGTTTTTTGATAAGTCTTCCTTGCTAATTCCAAATGAACCTGTTGTAACCTATCTGGTTCATTGCTTTCATTCATATTGATATTGAATAAAACATTGAGAAATAACGATTTTCTGATCATATTAAAAGAAACATAAAAAACTGAGGCGCAGCCACTGATAATTTCTCTTTAGTGTATGCTTCAGAATTTGGCTTCTAACCAGTTCACTTGAACTGATTATATTTTTTCAGAAGAACAAGCACTTAGATCTTAGAGAAGGAAGTCTGGAATAGTTGTTCGAAAAAAGACAAATTGCAGGATATTGACATTTGAGTCTTCTTTTTATATGTTTTTAGTTAAATCTTCCTTCATTAAAACCCAGCGTTGGTTACACTCTAGTGCAGGCGGACATTGCTTGTTAACTGACCTCAAATTACAGTCGAACTTTGGTTTAGCGCAAAACCAGGTGGGGTTTGGGTCCAACTCAGATCCACTTTAGTGTGGGCTCCACCTGTAGTAGCAACATGATCGTGGAACTCCTGGCTGGATAGCCAGGAGTTCCACAGGAGTTTCCAAACGTATTCGTCTGTGAGTCAAATAATTCATTTTGGCGTTGAAACGATGACGTCACATCAACTATGATTTGAAACGTATTCATGATGAATCATAACTAGCGTGAGGTTGGTTTTGAAACGGAACTTGACGTTATGTTACATCAATTGTCAGTTTTTGCTTTATTTTGATCGTTATAGTTTATAAAGTGCTATTTTTTTTATCAAATATGGTGTGAGGATGTACTAAATGAAGCTGCAAAATAATTACTTGCACAAATCTGATTCTAACTGAGGTTAGAGGTCAAAAAGTTTGTTTATATTATTGAATTTGACATCTGGCACAAATTCTGACGAATTTTATTATTAATGACGTCACTACGAATCGTTTTTGAATACAAAATCAAATACGATTAAACGCCAGAAAACACCTATATATACTCACCCGGAAATCTTCTGGCAACACTGAGCTCACCATAGAATGTGTACCTAACGCGTTCTATGCGAAGGTAACTGAAAAATAGTGAAAAATGAGCAAGAGTGAAAGAGAGAACATGGTTGACAAAAATTGAGTATTAGCTAAGTTGCTTATAAAACAAAAAATAAGTTAGTAATGAGTATAATTAAGTGTATATCATGATGTATTTTAAATCATCAAAGTTTAAATTACGAATAGTATAAGTGCATCGTTCCCACTTTTGTGTAATCGGTTGCACAGTCGGCATTTTTTAAAAAAATCGGCGTCTTTCAATATCAAGATGTTGTCTATAGGGCCTAAAATGGATGGGGGGCCAAATACGAAGTATTTTGAGTCTCCCGAAACGCTTACTGCTTTGGAGGGAGTTAAACAATGGCTCCAGAAAAATGGAAAAAAGGTAATATACATGCAGATTAGTAATAATCACCAATACCCAGTATATGCTAATGATCCTTCATTTGCAAAATTACATTGTTTTAGTTGGTCGGCAGAAGCTGTGAAATTATCAAAGATATTTTTCTGGCGGGTGTCGGTGTATAGTTCATGAAAAATCTTGTTCAAAATGTCATTACAGGGAATAGTTCCCTTAATACTCAATACTTAAGTCTTATGTACACTATGAATTCAAAATATCTGTAGTTATTATATAATTCACTGTGTTCTAGGAAGTCAAGTCTTATGATGAATTTTCTAATTGCATCTGTCTCTGATTGATAGCTGGTAATGTGATTGAAAGTTTCTCGATAAAAACAATATTCGATCATATAACTTTTAGGTTATGAATCATGAACCTATGATTTCAATCTCCACCTAGATTCCAAATCATATCAATTTTTATTTTCCAGCTATTGGTCTTTTCTTATTACTAATCCGTATTGTACCAGTCATGTAAGGTGTGTTTGGTTACAATTATCTGGAGCGAGTGAGCAGATGCAGATTTTATACCACGTGATCACAGAGTCAATGGAGCGAATATATTTAATGAAAACTTGATTCTATCTGAATGACAAGTCGACATATGTGAAATCATTTGGTATAACAAAACCTCTAATAAATATCGATGAAGTGTTTTTCTTCAACTGTAATTTAAAGTTCCCTTTTTGAAATGCAAATATTTTTTTTATAATCATTCAAGAATATTCAGTATTATTGTATTAAAGTAGGCATCATTATGTCAATAAGAATGTGTCATGAACTGAACACAGAGCTGATATAACTGAGACAACAGATCTGCATTATCGAACGCTTGCCGAACGGAGAGAACTAATCGAGTGCTGAGATTTGTATCAAATGTACACACACACACACCTATTGATTATTTCAGAAAGTTTTCAGAGCAGTGGTTTGTGGCAGTTTTTTAGCAGTGGTTATAAAATCCATCTCTAAGTCACCTTGACTAGTTTCACTAAAGTAAGAAGTCCTTCAAATCCAGAAATCCAAAAATGTGAAACGGGAAGCAACCAGAAGTTATCTATACCAAATCTCATTTTGATACACCTACTTATCTGGCATATGGAATGATTTGTATTACAATGTGAACAACGATTTTTTATAGTTTTCAGAATGTTCTCAAACAAATACTCTTTTCGTTCTTTATGTATATTTTTTTCATCAAGTACATACTATATATTGGTATGACATGATTAATGTCATTACCTGAAAATGTTATTAGCTTCCAACTTTCTCCTAGTATATTCACGATTTCATTGTGTCGACTCAATGTATGGACCTTTATTACTACCATTAGGAAAAAATTCAATTCAAAAGTTTGTTTTACCAATTCGAATGACAACTCTCAAAAGTTGAAACTTGGGTAAGTCTAGCAAAGATTAGACAATATGTAGTGGAAACCCATCATCCCAATATTTCTCATTTTAAAAAACATTTTTATTTGTAGTTTCTAATTTCTTAGCTATAATGTCTATCTCTATAAAGGAAATTGGTACATTTTATTGTTATATTTTCTTTGAAAGAATATTGTAGTCTGGCTTCTTATCGAATACATTTGAAGGGTATTAACCAATTACCCCTCCCACCACACACTGGGATACACACAATGAACCAAAAATGACAGCTTCTGTATTTGTACAGTTGACATTTCTGTCATTTTGAAGCAAACACATAGAATCTTGAGGTTTAAGAGTAGGGAAAACATTCCACCAAGGATTCCAATTCGAAGAACCAATCCTAATATTTCATTCGTTTTTTCTCCTCATTTCGAATGTTTTTATTCCCACCTGGAGTCAAACTTCTTGTGCAATATTGTCTCATATTGATGGTTGGGGCAATTATGGTAGGGTAGGAAAATAATAGGTCTACTAAACTTGATATTTGTCATTTTCCTCACAATCAGGTAATTATATTTCTTTTGCAGTATGTACAAAGTGATCCTGTTACAAACAAGACTTTAGCAACAACAACTGTTCAACTAATGCAGTTTCAGGAAGACTTTTTGGGCAAAAATGCACAGAAACCACCTATGACTCGCATACCTGTAATATCAGCCTTCCAACTTTAGACAACAAAATTATTCTGTTATGTTTTAGGTTAAATACTTTCTTGATTTCAAACCAGGAGGAGGCTTGTGTCAAATGTTATTAGCTGCTTATAGGTTCAAGAGTGAACATGGTTGGAGAAGATTTGAATTGCCCTCAGGAAAGGTGCAAATTTATTTTTGTTGTAAATTATTTTAACTTTTATGTATCTTCGTTTTAGAATGTTTCAAAATTGGAAAGGGTGTACGAAATGTTTCAAAATATGGAGAAAGCTTTGATAAGTGCTAAACAATATACACTTCCAGTAGTATATATCAAACCTGACATGGACAAAGCTGTCATTCAGAAGGTAAAGGAAATTGTTCGAAAAAGGAATGGTCAAGTTGTTGAAACTGAAGATACAGCTACTCATATTATTTATGGTTCTTTAGATCCTTTGAAAGATGAATATGGCAGACCAGTGATAAAACGGGACAAAATGGCTTTGATGCATTGGTATTACTTTCCCAATTCTTACGATACCTGGGTCAACTTGGAAAGTGCTGGATTAGATGGATTATCAATTGATAGCACTCCTAGTCCACATTCAGGGCCATGGCGTGTAACTTGTAATTGGATTTACGAAACCGATCAGTATAATGAGTGGATGACTGAAGAAGATTATGAAGTAGATGAAAATGGTATCAAAAAAGTTCATCCTCGGACAATGTCTGTAGATGAATTGATGAACCCGTCAGAAGATAGAAACAAAAAAAATAAAGGCGGTAAAAGGAAAAGGTCTCCGTCCCCTCCATCAAAGGTAGGAAAAAGGAAAAGTGGAAGAAGCCCAGCAGTTGGCAAAAAAACAAGGCCTGAAGATCCCGAATCTGAAGATTTAACAAAAGATATGGAAGAACCTACTCCTGAACCAAATGTTGTTGAAGTTGCTCCTGTTGTACCAAGTACTCAGTTACCTGTGAAGAAGGATCATGAGCTTCAACCACTCAAAGGAGGCTCAATAACAGATCTGGAAGAGACTGAAGAAAGAGGAGAGGATTCTCAAACTGGAAAGAATAGTGATAGCAATACACAGGATGATGGCCAGGAAGATAATGTTACAGAACAAACTCATCATATTATAATTCCTTCGTATTCTGCATGGTTTGATTACAACTCAATTCATGAAGTAGAGAAAAGAGCCATGCCCGAGTTTTTCAATGGCAGGAACAAGTCGAAGACACCTGAAATTTATTTGGCATACAGGTAAATTTTTTATTTCATTAGTTTTGTGACCAGTTTCAAAAATTCAACTGTGAAACTCTGTTTTCAAAAATTTGACATACTTTTTCTCAACTACTCAGATGTACGTTCACTCAGTTTATAATTTTTCAGGAACTTCATGATAGATACTTATAGACTAAACCCTACGGAGTATATTACTAGTACAGCGTGTCGAAGAAATCTGGCCGGTGATGTGTGTGCTATTATGAGAGTTCATGCTTTCTTAGAACAATGGGGTCTCATCAATTACCAAGTTGACACAGATTCAAGACCTACTGCCATGGGCCCGCCACCTACTTCTCATTTCCATATATTGTCTGATACACCATCAGGTTTGCAGCCTGTTAACCCTCCTAAGACACCTCAACCAAGTGCTGCAAAAACCCTCTTAGACCTAGATAAAGTACAAGAAATGAAGAAAACCGAAGGATCAACAGAAATATCTAGTTTTGGTTTGAAATTAGATCAGTATGCAAAGAAACCTGCAGTTCTACGAAATAAAAGTGCAGCCTCTTTAACTAGAGATTGGACAGAGCAAGAAACACTTCTGTTGCTGGAGGGCCTAGAGATGTATAAAGATGACTGGAATAAAGTTTGCGAACATGTAGGTTCACGTACACAAGACGAATGTATTCTTCATTTTCTTAGACTGCCAATTGAAGACCCTTACTTGGAAGATCCAGAAGCAGGTGGAGCTCTGGGACCCTTAGCTTACCAACCAATACCGTTCAGCAAAGCTGGAAATCCAATCATGTCCACCGTAGCTTTCTTGGCTTCTATAGTTGACCCAAGAGTTGCTGCAGCTGCTGCTAAATCAGCCATGAATGAGTTTGCCAGCATCAAGGATGAAGTTCCTGCCTCGGTGATGGACGCTCATCTGAAAAATGTGGAAGCATCGAATGCTGATGGCAAATATGATCCTGCTGCAAATCTTGCTATGACTGGAATTGCAGGTACTGTTCCTGATAAGGAAGAAGAAGATAAAGTCAAAAAGGAAGATATAAAAGATGAGGAAAAAGCTCCCGAGGAGAAGAAAAATGGGGACAGCCAGGATGAGAAGATGACAGACAAAGTTAAATCTGAAACCTCAGACAGTGAAAAAGATGAGAAAATGGATATGTCAGAAAGCAAAGGCGAAAAAGCCATGAAAGATAGTGAAATGCAAAGTGCTGCAGCAGCAGCCTTAGCTGCTGCTGCTGTCAAAGCAAAACATCTCGCTGCTGTAGAAGAAAGAAAAATAAAGTCGTTAGTGGCATTATTAGTAGAAACTCAAATGAAGAAACTAGAAATCAAACTCCGTCACTTTGAAGAGCTGGAAACGACCATGGAAAGAGAAAGGGAGGGTCTTGAATATCAACGCCAACAGCTTATTACTGAAAGACAGCAATTTCATTTGGAACAATTGAAATCTGCTGAGTTTCGAGCTAGGCAACAGGCTCATCAGAGACTTCAAGCTGAACAAGGGCAATGGTCTGCCCAGCAGACTTCCATATCACATTCAGCTCCATCTACGGATACTGGACCTAGTACTACTCCAACTCCTCCTTCTCCACAAGCATCAGCTGTGGCGTCCCCACAAGCACCACCCCATCATCACATTTAAACTAATGTGGTTTCATGGACGCCTTCATTGCTTTGAAGAACAGATGAACCTGAAAGGTAAGTGGGTGAATGTGCCAGTCAAAAGTTGATTGGAACAATTTGCTTAGGTACTTGGTTATCTAAATCAGCTAGCTATATTAATAAGATTAAGCTAGATAGACGATATTCCAAAATTTCTCAATATCGAAACTGTAATATAGAGGAGATTTAGTGATTTTGAGGTGTCATTACTTGATACTTCAAAAAGGATGTTCTATATACACCAGATACTGTAAGCAAGTTAGAGTTTGACATTTGAACATTTCAAAAACCTCTTGTGTAATTCTAAAGATCTCCCATCCACTATATTGAGAATTTGGTCACAAATTTCCCAATCTAACAATTCGTAAGAATATACTTTTTTGTATAGATTTGTAATTGTGAGTTTTGAAAAGATGTCCAAGTTTTATATAAAATAAGAATATTTCAGCTTTCTAGGTACTATGACCTCAAATTGAATGGAAGACATATATTAATGAAAATTATCAGTTTAATGGTAACCTTACTGACTCAGTTTGATATGTGATAAGGAATGAATTATTTGATATTCATAAAATTGATTCAATGAAACATTTCAAAAAATCCTAAAAATAAATATATTGCACCAAGTTGAAATGCCTAGTAAATGACAAGGAATATTTACCATAAAATCTCTCGACTTAAAGTTTCAGGAGTTTATTAAATTATTGAACACTCAAGTCATTTGTTTAGCAAAATTTCAATAATAGTGGTCTGAACACGTTTTAACAGAATAAATATTTCTCGACAGCAATGCAGGCACTTCAATTTTTCACCTTCGGCATAGTTCACAAATACCATTTTCCAAAATTTGAGTTTGCTTTTACAGAAAATTATGTTTGAGGTAACATTTGATTTCTAATTCTATCCAGAATCAATTTGAGACATTTGTTCCATTATCTCTCAATCATTTGTTTTTTCAAGTGTCACAAATGGGTAATTGACTTGTTTATTTTGTGGAAATTCATGATCACTTCAATGAAGGGAATGAAAATACTTTTGTCTAAATTCCACTAGTTATTTTATTTTTACGTTTTATTTTGGATTTACCTCTCAGGAGCAGTATATGACCAGTGGCGATGTGAATAATTTATCGACATGTGTTTTCTGGCAAGGATAATATAAAAAATGGGTTTGCATGTAGTACATTTTATTGACAAAATTGAGTTCAATAGTTTTTTTAATAGTATGTGATAAGAAATACCAATAGTTTGAACAATACTCAAAATAGTCTAAAACGCTTGCAAAATACATCACCGCTGCAAAGAACTAGACAATTACGATTCATGTGAGCACACAAGAGCCAAAATATTCCCAGTTGTAATGTAAATATAGAAAACTGATAGTTTTCAATTAGATTGATGAAAGATTTTACTAAAAATTAACAGAAGTGAATGTATGTAAAGCAGATATGATTCTGTGAAACCATGCTAAAGGGTATGTGGTGATTTTTTTACATTTCATTGAAAATTTTTTGTCAAATTTTCAATTGAGTGAATAGTACCTATTTTAGAGAGATGTAAAAATTTCACTNTGAAACTTCAACCAATTACCTGTACAAATTTTGAATTATTTTTTGTAATTTTGAATAACACGGTTGAAGTCGGCTTGTTATTATACAAAGTTTCGTATAGCAATCGATTATCTTTATTATTCAATGTAATTTATTTTGCGATTACTTGTTATTGTTGTCCTTTACACTATGATTTTTTGAACAAAAATTTTACTTATTTACAGTACTTTCAATTATGATGTAGTTTTCAATGTAATTTAATATGTATGAAATAGGATAAAAAGTGTATCATTTTAGTAATATATCTTTTTACAACAGACATGTGATTTCATTTGGTACATTTTGCAGTGAGAGAGTATTTAAAATACTTGAATGTCATATTCAAGTATCACTCCTTTGTGATATTTTCACTATACAGTTTTACAAAACTGCAACACGTGTTTCTCTATACAATATCTTCTTCAAGTGTTTTAATACTGACTCAATTCTATTGATTTGTACTTACGTATTGACTAATAATTTTACCTGTGTTTGGGTGAAAACTATTTGAATTTTTTTTTCAACATCTCAAAAAAAATTTACCAACTCATTAAATTGACATGTACTAAACTAATCAATTTTTGTGCTTCTAAATCTGTTTTCAATATGAAAATTGGTAATTGATGGATATAGCCGTTGTTACTGTGGTAGGATATCATCATGAGAAATGTTATTTTACCACTTACATTTGTAACTAACGTTAATGCAGTTTCGTCCTATAAGAAAATTTTCAAACGAATACGATGAACTTTATTTATTTCAAACGAATACAATAAACTTTATTGTATTTGTTTGAAAATGTTCTTATCAGACGAAACTGCAATAACGTTAGTTAGTTTTTACCTGAACTCAATTAAAATCATTGGTCATTAAGGAGTTACAATGTCATATAATTCAATTTGTTATATAAAGCACAAATCGTAATTAGTTCAGTACATGTCCACTTAACAAGGAAAATTTTCTTTAATGGTGTTTAAAAATGACGGCCACTCCGTCTGAAATGATCTGCCCGGTACTGACGAGAAGCAAGCAATCCGAAAACGGTCTATCGGTGGTTGTCCCTACCAAATGGAAGACGTTGCAAAGGTCCTGATGGTTTTACTTCAGCTTTCTGCGCGGCATTAGCTGGGTTGTTTTCATTAATCTGCTGTCATTCTCATATGAACAGCAACCCTCAAAATCAACTTGAGATAGGTAATATTTTGTCGAAAAATACATGTATTCAAAAATCACTACGGGTAAAGACACGCCCGAAGAAGCCATTGTATGGCAAAACACGTGTGGCGTTTTTGTAACACTGTTTGGTGAAAATCTCACAATAAAATATTTTTTGAATACGTTAGTTACGGATTTTCATCAAGTATCTGCCAATTCCATCATATATTAGAAATGTGTGTTCCAATCTCAACAAAGCATCTTATGCAATCAAACAAATGAAACCCAATTTAATTAATTCTGGTCTACTTGCTATGTATTATGCAATGGCATATTCACATATCAGTTTTAATATTATAGAATGTGGTAGACTTCTCAATAGTGTTTATAGCTCAGAATACTACGACAAATTTTTGGGGTCAAGTTTCAAGACTGCTGTCCATATATCTTTACAAACTATATTATTCGAACCGCACCTTCGATTTATATGCTTGAATGAGTTATGTTCGCCAGACAGAATGTACCACTCAATTGCATTGCATTAATGCAACGATGCTTCATAAATGAGCCATTATTTCTCGAGGATAAAAAATGTTTATTGTGGGTTATCCCAAAGAGATGACATATACCATCACAGACTTTTCTGTAGACCTTTTTAAGGTGTGCATTTTTTATCAATCTCGTAGGGTTCAGCCAGCGTTTGCAATGTAAGCGCAAAAATGTGTATCACATTAGAAACCTCTAAAATTATCAGCGTTTCTTTACTATATTATGCATGTCATGTACATATAAAACCATCCTCTTGAATCAGTCTATCTTTTTAAAAACCCGTATCAAAATTCGTTGTGTAGTTTTGACGATCTCAGTATACACAGGGACAGAGAGCGGAAAGGGACTTTTTTTTTATACTATGTAGTGATGTCAATATTGATATAATGACTCATACTAGGGATTTTATTTGAATTGAAAGGTGAGTATTTGTAAGAGATATTTATTTTCCAAGCAAATATCTTTTTGGCTTTCTACTTCCTAATCATGAAAAAATAAAAAATGTCTGATGAAATTAGCAGATACTTGATGAAAATCCATAAAGTATTCAAATATTCACGATATTTTCACTGAACAGTTTACAAAACAGCAACACGTGTTTCACTATACAATAGCTTCTCCAGAGGGTGTTCAAACTGGAGGATGAATAGAGAAAATGTGGGAAATTTACAAGGAAAGGAAGAAAGAAAGTAACTCAAAAATTCTTCATAAAGATATGTAGAACATACACAAGAGTTGTTTTCAGGTACAAACTGGAAGGAAAAAATCTTGGTGGGACGATAGCCTGGTGGATTGACATGGGTGGTTTGCTCCACTCACTCAATCGACCACTGTGTGAACCGGTGGTTCGAACCGCAAGGCTGGAGTCTCGATTTTCACTTTCTATCGTCCGACCCGTGTGTTAGGAATCAAACGTTAAAAGGTGATCGTTAGTCCTTAGTTCTCACAAGTTTTGACTTTTGTGAGTTGTCGTTCGTAGGGGGGCGACAGCTGGTTAACGTAAAAAAAAATTAAAAACAGAGATTTTCAGAAAACACTACTTTCACATGAACATTGAGTTACGGAATGTGTAGTGTTCTTATGAATGATATTTGTTTCAATTCCATAACGAATGTTTATAGTAGAATCTTAATTTGAAAAAGTGATTTTAGTGTAATTCAATATCCATATGAAAGTAGGCGTTTCGAAAGTTCTTTTCCTTTCGTGTATTTCAGTGTTCATGTGAATAAAGTACTTGTTTCGAAAAGGGTTTTTCTTCCTGTTTATATCTGAAAGAAGCTTCTCTGTATGCTCTACATACCTTTATAAGGAGTTTTATTATATGTTTATCTTCTTTCTTTCTTCGGAACTTTCCCACATTTTTTGTTTAATGAAGGAGAGAAGTAGAAAGACAAAAAATTGTTTTCATCATATTAGGAATGGCATGAAACTCAAAAAGATTTTCTCGCATTTTAATTTATATACTGTAGTAATATGATCGAAAATAGTTACCTTACATTCATCTACCACCATAGACAATATGTTTACTAATGTAAACGATACTGTAGTTTGTGTCGTTGATTCCAGTTCTGATCAAAAAGTTATTCTACTCGTAGCTTCTTGATAAAAACGCTACTTATTCGAGTACATCCAAAATAAGGAAAAGTTTCAGCAAGCAATCACTTGAAAACTTCTATGAAGCAGTTAGACATACATCTTGGCTTGACGATCCAAATGATATACCTATCTAACCTTTCCAATAATAATCTTTATTGAGTGTCCTCAGGGAACTGTGAGCAAATGAAGTTAATAAATAATAAATTAAATATTGGTTGATATGAACTAACAGTATTCATTCTTGGAGCCTTTTATCCCTTGTGAATTATTTTCCTTACTAGGCAAGAGAATAAAAATGAAGTGTTCATATGGTAATGACGAAATTTCATTATTCCTTATAAAAAAATGCCTTCTTTACCACAAGGCGACTTACTTTCCTTATAAATTTGTCTTTTCTCACAGTGGCTAATTGAAAAAAAATAGGATCCAGAAAAGCTTATAGACCCAATAACGATTATTTCAGGTTTCTTGAAAAGTCTTTGAGCTCACAGGAGAAACTAACACTGAGATGTATAACTCCTAATATATAGATGTATCGATTGATATACAACAAGAGTCTGTTGGGTCCAATACTATTCCTTCTATTATCAATAGGA